CCCCAAAACCCCAAAACCCCAAAACCCCAAAACCCCAAAACCCCAAAACCCCAAAACCCCATGGTGGCCAAGGCTATTGGATAAAATTATCAATTTTATCAGTTTATAAGAATGGGTACTGCCCTCCAGTGTGCCTGTAATCCTCTGATTTCATCTGTGAAGTATTCTGAGAGTCTGGTATTTCATAATTATACTCATTCTGACCAGACATCCTCCCTCTAGAAAACTCTACAATAGACATCTGAGATTCATTCTTCTTCTTGAATGATTGCTTAGGTTGTGTCTGCTTGAATCTCTGTATGGCCCTTCTCTCAGTATTCTCTCGAGTCTTTAAGGAGCCTCTTTTCCTGGATTTATTTCCTCTAAAGCTTTTCTGAGACTTCTCTTCTTCATAGTATGAACTTGACTGATCATGACGAGGTGGAAGCGTCTCGTTAATGCTCTGTAAATGACTGTTTTCGTTAGAAATATTTTCAAATAATTTTCGAATTTTTGACTGGCTCATAGCCTTATTGATCAAACTACTGTGATATGATTTAAATGAAGTCTTGTTCTCATCTGATCTTCCTGTTGGCGAGAGAGAAGGGATCTTACGGGAGCTGTTATCTTTCCTCATGTCTTTAGCCTGTAACGTTGCTTTAGACAAGATCCCTGAAACAGAAGTTGATAAACTGTTCTTAAGATCCCCTGTTCCGTAAACTTGGCTTGGGAGGCCCATTGAATTATCAAGAAGTGTGGAAGCTGCCATTACCCCTTTTTGGCCAAATTCTCCTCCGATTTCATAATCATATTCAGTTGTTTCATTTTTAGTGTTGGTACTATTCAAATAAAGTCCACTGAAGGAAGAAGGGATATAGTTGCTCATACTTTGGTTCTCTCTTAACGAGTCATTATTTGGCATGTTCCTCTTATTCCTGGTGTTCCTAGGATAAGCGTTACTGTCATATGAATTAGTAGGCCCATTCCTGCGATGATGGTTATCCTTAGAGCTTGACCTTCCTTTTCTAAGATTCTTGATAGAATTACTCGCCTTCTTTTCTTTATGAAACTTCTGGGTATTCTTCTTCTTTTTGAATTGAGGAGGGCTTGTCCCAAGAGGCAGAGAATATGGGTTCGTCCTTGTCTTTGAGCTACTCTTTTCTGTAGAAGTCCTTCTTTTTGAATGATCTTTGGTCCGGCTATTGCTTTCTTTCAATCGTTTCTGCTGGTCTTCAACTTGTTTAACAAGTTTCTCCTTATGTGATTCTATGAGTTCTTCTACTTCAGAATCTCTAACAGTGTCAAAGTATGAATGGCTGAGTGCATCTATGGCTGAATATCTCGCCTTAGGATCCATTCTAAGCATCCCGCCCATTAAGTCAATGGCATTCTTTGCCATCTTTCCTATGTAATGCTTCTCTAAGGTTTCTGGAGTTTTAAGCTCAGGAAATTTTAAGCCAATGAACCTCGGATTTTTAGCAAATTGTTCTTCTTGATCAGGAGTAAGTTTTCCAATAATCTACGAATGAGATGCAAAAAGTACTTTTTGAATTTGATATAGTTGGTCTATCTCAGAGTCTCCTGGAAATAATGGATCTCCATCAGTTATTTCTCCCATGATACAGCCTATAGGTTACTCTATTGATGTATACCGATAGCCCAGATATCTACAGGGGCTCCATAAGAGCTGCCAAGTAAAAGTTCAGGGGATCTATACCACCTTGTGGCTACATAATCTGTTAATTTATTTTTATTTTTATTGGTCATCGTTCTAGCAAATCCAAAGTCACACAGTTTGAGGATGTCTTGGGTTCTACAAAATGAGAGGCAAATTATACCCATCGATCAACAAATTTTCAGGTTTGATGTCTCTATGGATGACTCCGTGTCTGTGGCAGAACTCAATAGCTTTGAGGAGTTCATAAATAAACCGCTTGATTTCTTCAGGCTGAAATTTTATATATAGACTTACTGATAATCCTTGTGGCTTATCTTCGATTACTTCAAGGAGGTTCTTCTCTCAATATTCGAATACGAGGAACAGTCTTCCCTTTCTATTAAGTTAGCTAAATTATTGATAAATATTACCTTTTAAAAGCCTCTTTGAGTTGCACTAAATTTATTAAGACCATGAATCTGAAAAATTACTTACCAACGTTTGGATGCTTGATCATCCTGAGGACTTTAACTTCTCTAAGTGTTGTCTTCTTCACGATGTCATCTTCATCTGTCTCTTTGAATTTCTTAAATAGCAACTATAAATTTTAAATCAAATAAGTTTTTAAGGATTTTGCCAACTTTTGAAAGTAAATTAATGACCTAAAAGCTATGATAAGGTATTCAAAATGTTAAAGTCTCATAATGAATCGACTAAAGTCCACTTTTACCCCTCTTGGTATCTTCAAGGATTCTAACAGAAGATGTATGCATTGAGAAAATGTCATAAAATTCAGAGAACTCTTAACAGAACAGATATAAGCAGCTGTTGGAGTATCATCTGTTGCTCATCTCTTAGGTGCTTAAGTAGGCTTACCAACATCCCCATTTTCTTTATTCTTGGCTTTATAAACAATGCCATAAGCTCCTTCGTTAACGATACCTAGTACTTCGTATTTGTTCATTCAAATTTATTTTATTCAATTGTCTATTATAGTTTCGGGGTTTTGGGGTTTTGGGGTTTTGGGGTTTTGGGGTTTTGGGG